GTATCTTCGTTTTGCAATAATTATCAATTCAATGCTACAACTTTTCATGATAATTATGCAGTGAATGTTCTATAAAATGTTTTTTGGCGTAGTCACCATTAACATGCAGTGAGAAAATACCAACCGTATACCTACCGTATCCCGACATGTGATATAGCGTTATACCAAATGGTTTGCCTTGAAAACTGCAAATCCGATGCGAAAAAAAAGTTGTGAACAAATCCTGCAAAGCTGGATTCTCCAAAATTTCTTCAAAGTATCCAATCTCTTCAGAGTTCGGAAATTTTTCTAGTTTGCAAAAATTGTGTCAGTGACGTTTTAGAGAGATTAATGGTTATTTGAGGCCTTTTCCTTCACGTTTGTTCGCATTTTCTCTGCATGTTTTTCTTACATGGTAACATTTCTTCACTTCAGATTTCTCTTTTTAAATTAGCACAGTGAGTTTGGCACGCAGTACTATGCACTCGGTCCCAGATTTCGGGTAGAGGGACAAACACTGCTACATTCGCAAAGTTTCGAACCATTTGCCTTCACATGACATGCAGGTCTATTTGAAAGGACCCACAGTTGGTGAGGCAGCTCCAACCCGCAGTATGGGTTCCTCTACCCCACATGAATTCTATTCTCGAAAAATTTCTTTCGAGCTTCGCTGAACCTTTTCTGTACCACTAAAACTAGCCAAAGTGAAGCTGTAGCAGATGAGAGTAGCTGATAGTCGGAAAACACTGCCGAGTTGTGTTTTTAGCACAGTCGCGTTGATATGTATGGCCGTGGCGTATCAACTGAGTGCGAATCGCCAACGCTGCCGCGAAAGCACCTCGGTGGACCGCAACCCACGCCTGACCAGTCACCTTTTCTCTTCGACAAAGTATGCGTTTCGCATGTGGAATGCCCTGAGCTTCTTTTTCACTTCTTCTAACACATACTCTGCCCTGGCTTGTTTTTATTTTATCCGAACTGCTTACGGTATACCGTTGAGTCTGATTCGTCTACATAAATTTTTTAGGCGAAGAAAATCATCATGCAATATCCCGGCCGGCCGGATCTGTCTGAGATTGAAGATGGGTTGATAAAGAAGAAGTGAGTTTTGCTGTATCCTGGTCGATGTACGCATTTGTTATCGGTTTGTTGTTAGCGCACGTAGTTTTCACAAGTAGACAAAAATGGGATGAGTTATCTACTGCAGCAATAGCCTTTTCGTGGCAAGACCATGTCTGCTTTCTCCCATTTTCTTCATTCTATGGCTGCAAATACAAAGCGGCAAGCTCCTAGTGAAGAGTGTCCTTCCAAGTCCAATGTTGCAACCTATTTACGATTTGAATAAGCTAAGAATTCTCAGAAAATTATCCTTAGCAGCAGCATATTGAATGGTCTCTGAATGTCCACTTATGCAACTCTTTTTTCCTCCCAAGAAGTGGTATAATCTTCCTCTCTTGTTCAAGGTTAGGATGATGATCTAGAAATGGTTGAATCTTCCAACCGGCACTTAAACCGCAAATAAAAAGTTTAGTACATCCGTTTCAACCTTGAATGTAGCCAATGGTGAAATTTCCGGAACAATCGAATGTTCAAATTTTTTGTATTGATCCGCCTCTACTTCTTTTCCAATTTTTTTCCCTGCCTCCCTCAGTGTTTTCCGGAGATCATAATCACATTTTTCTTGCTTCAGAAAAGACTGGTTGAAAACGCAAGATCCAGATCAGCAAGGTGCTAGCGATGCCAGCATCACTCCTACTCCAAGGTAATGCTTTCACCGATCGAGTTTCAAATTAGTACTATAAGGACTGAGTTCGAAAATTCAGTTATGTTGGCTCAGTCCCTTCAAGAACACCTCCACCTGTGGATGAACCCGCTCACGAGGTAGAAAACCACAGCGAGCAGGTAATGAAATCTGCTGAAACAGCGTAAAATATTGAATTGGTTTTTCAGGCCAGTCAGCAGAGCTCGGAAGAAGATGAAGAATCAGAAGAGGAGTCTGAAGTTGAGATCGAGAACATACATGCACATCGTGGCCCAATAATTAGCTCTGTGAGAAGGGATGGAGGTTTGTGATCTCGTTTCACTATAAAGTGCATGTCTACATACTGTCGCCCAATAGACGCGGTAGGGAGGGAAAAGCAATGGAAAAGCGAATAATTAGATTTGAAGCAGTTCTCGTCTAACAG